CTTTTTCAGTGTAGTAGGAAATTATTTGTCATTTTGTATGTAAAATCAAGATTGTTCATGAATTTGATGGTCACTATCAAGTCACTGGGCATTGAAGAGATTAACTAATCGGCGTAACATGTTTTTTTACACAACTTTATCGGCAAGTTGGCCTCTATTTTAGTTTTCAAGTTTTTCTCTTTTCTTTTTCTTTTGCTCAACTATCCCTTCCGCAACTCCCCCACCACTCTTCCTCTTCCCTTATAACCCTTCAAATCTATTTTCATATATCTCTCCACATCAATACTTACGATCATCCTTCTAACACTGTCAAAGTATTCAAAATTTTATTTATTCATTTAAGGGAAAAGGCTCAAATATGTCATCAAACTTTTAGAAAAGGTTCATATATGTCATTCGTTAAAAGTTTGGTTCATCTATGTCATTGATGTTAAAGAAAAAAGGCTCATCCATGCTATTTTTTTAAACTTCGGTTTTGCAAAATCATTTTTTACCCCCCAAACAAGGTTTAATACATTTCAAATGGAGTTTTTGGATCAAATGTACATTTTTTTCTTCTACTTTCTTAAAAACACCAAGAACACATAAAGAACATTAACAATTTCCAAATTTCAAACTTGTTCAATTTTTCATGAAATCGCCTCAAATTTCAAGAGTAGTTTCCCTCTGAGCTAGATATCAAAACTCAATATCTTTTAAACTCGAATTCAACCTAACTCAATAAGACTCACTTGAAATTTCTTCAAAGTTTCAAAACTTCAACATACTTTAATGGTAGGATTTTCTCCACAACTTAAAATCATTTGAAATTTTGAACATAGACACATAAAATACTAGGGAACATAGATCCAATGTCAAAAACAACTACAAAAACACGAATCAAAGAAAAAAATTGAAATTTTGGGACTGATTTTCATTTTTTGGAATTTTTTTTTAATACAGGTGCATTTTTTTAACTCTACAAATGATTTTAGAATTTTAGATTTTTAAAAAAAAGAAATTAATGATGTAGTTGAAATTAGACATGATTTCGTGAAGAATTGAAGACGTTGAAAATTTGGGAGTTGTTTATGTTCTTCATGTGTTCATGGTGTTCTTAAAGAAAAAGAAGCAAAAAGTGTACATTTGATCCCAAAATTCTAATTGAAAAGTGTTTCTTTTCACTCCAAAAGTTGATTTGATTGCCACTGAAATCTGATTACATATGAAGAAGGAGGGCTAGGCCTAGCCTTCTATAAAAGATGTATAGATATAACGGAAACCAAAAAAGTTGGCCCAAAACAGTGGCAAAGGAAAGCTTTAAGGAGGCTCATATTAAAGCATTCTCGGTTTTCTCATCTTGACTCTTAATGATGAAAATTACCATCAATCAGTAGTTAGCAAACCTCTGATGGTTGTTGGTAAGTCTCTATACTGTGTATATACCTTAATTGCATCAGTGTTATGGGACATAGAAGCCAGTTTGTCCGCTACTTTGTTAGCTTCTCTAAAACAGTGCCTAGTAATCACTTCATGGTCTATTACTAGTTTCTTGATCTCCTGCACCTCTTCATGTTTCCTCCTAGGTACCTTCCAAGAGTCATTTATACAATTTTGAAGAAGTAGTGAATCTGTTTCTCCCAAGATAAAGGTATGACCATTGTCCACACACCACTTGAGCCCAAAAAGAAACGAAGAGGCTTCAGCTAAGTTGCTAGTGCCTTGGCCCAATGGGAGAATGAAGGCCATGATGAATCTGCCAAGTGAGTCCCTGATTACTCCCCCACCACCACATGAATTACCAACACATGATCCATCTGAGTTCATTTTTACAAACAAGAGTGGGGGCATGTTGTGAAGTTTGTGAAGTATTGTAAGTTGGTGTCCAGTATTGTAAGTAAGCTTATCCAATTATCTGGAATAAACAAGTTCGTGAAGGTGGACTTGGTAAGATGGCAAATCTTGAAAGATAATATAGAGGTGGATCTGAAAATTGAAGGTTTCTCATGTTCATATTTTGAGCTACATCTCGATCTCCAAAGTTCCCACATGATAATTATTGGCAAAATTCTCATAACATAGGCTGCAATAGAGTTATGTCCTTTGAAGTTCCAGGTTTTGTACATGAGTTGTCTAAGATTAGTGCTTTTAGAGTTGATGAGAGTTGATGCGTATATCCCCAACAAAAGATTGTCAAATCCTTTAAGCATATTGACCGGTGCAAAATAGGTGCTCAGACTTTCCAATCTTGAGGTCATACCTGCACCAATACAACAAGAACAATCATTAGTTAATGTAATTCCAAATCTGAAAATTTTGTCATCTGAAGGTAGTCTAGCGTGAATAGCTCTCCAAGCTACAAATGACATTTTATAAGGATCATCTTTGTGCCATAGTCTTAAGTCAAACTGAGAAATATCTCTCATATGTCTAAGACTTTCCCAAGCAGAGGAAATACTGATTCAGAGACCGTCCAAACAGGGATATATTTTTTGTCTTGATTGATGGTAATAGGAAATCTAGCTATAATTTCTTTGATGTAGTCATTTGGCTGAGGTATCAGTATTGTCCAATCCTATACACCTTCCCTGAAAACGTGATTCACATTAACATCTTGATATTCTGTGAAATCCTCCATGAGAAAGTAAAGTGGCCCTTGGGTGGTCCAATTGTCAAATCAAAAACTAATGTTCCCTTTGCCGGTCCTCTACCAAATAAGGCTGTCCACTGTGTCTCTCAACTCGCACATGGCCTTCCAACTGTGTAATTGAGAAGGATACCAATGGAAAGTAGTGGGATGAACAATAGTGCAGTACTTGCCTTTCAGAAAGTTGGTCCATATTGAATTGAAGGTTCTATATTTCCACCATTGTTTAGCTGTGAAGGCTTTGCAGATGTCTTTTAAACTTTTGAAGTTAGAACCTCCCTCATTGTATGGAAAGCACAAATTCTCCCAAGAGATCCAGTGGTGTTCTCCACCTTCATCATTTCCTGGCCAAAAAAAAACTAGCAATATACTTTTCTATGCTCTCTATGATGCCTTTAGGAGGATGTACATCAGCCAGTGTGTAAATGTTAAGAGCTTAGAGGACATGTCTTATATGAGTGGCTCTTCCACCACTGGAGAGGAACTTGAGGTTCCATCCTTTTATTCTATTAATAACCTTGTTCATCATATTAGAAAAAATGTCTTGGGTTTTCCTCCCAAAATAAATGGGGAACCCTAAATATTTCAATGGGAGATTCTCAAATCCCATGTTCAGGATCCTTCCAATTCTTCTAATGGTCCTTTGTGGTGCTTTAGGAGCTAGTGAGTAGGAGCTCTTATTTTTGTTGCTATGTTGCCCTGATACATTCTCATAGGATTCCAGAGTCTTGAGAATTAATTGGAGGGACGCCTTGTTCCCATTGCTGAAAATGATTGTGTCATCTGCAAAAGAAAGATGATTAATCAGTGGACCATGAATATTCATGTAGAAACCTTTCAATGCAGGATTATTATGCAAGGAGTTAAGCATTTGTGAGAGAAGTTCAGCTGTAACGACAAATAAGGAGGGGGAAAAAGGGTCACCTTGTCTAAGACCTCTCCCTGATTTAAAATAACCTTGTCTGCTACCATTCACAATAAGAGAGTACTAGTTATTAGAGATAAATTTGTAAATGATGTTGATCCAATATTTAGAAAAAAACAAATTGTCTGAAAATAAAGTAGAGGGAAGACCACAAAAATCTATCATATGCTTTAGACATGTCAAGTTTAATGCTAACATTAACAGCTTGATTTGGTTTCCTAATGTCATTAACAATTTCCTGGGCAAGAAGGATATTTTCAGTAGTGTCCCTACCTTTGACAAAGACACTTTGATTATGACCAATGATTCTAGGAAGAATTTTAAAAAGTCTAGCATTGATAAGTTTAACAAAATATTTACTAGAAGTATTGCATAAACTAATGGGTCTAATGTCAGAAAAGTCTTGTGGAGAATTAACTTTGGACAACATGATAATGCAGGTGTGTGAGAAAAATTTAGGAAGGATAAGACCTTGGAAAAAAGTAACCACAACAACATGGACATCATTGGCAACGACTTCCTAAGTAGATTGATAAAATTTACCTGTTAGACCATCTGGTCCAAGGGCATTGTCTGGGTCAATGGAGAAGACACATTTTTTTACTTATTGTATGGTCGGAACCATAGTAAGAGAAATATTGTCTTCTATAGTAACTGATCTTTGCAAAATATTAATAATTGTACTATCTTCACTAGTCTCTTCTGCACTGAAAAGCTTTTCAAAGAACTTAATGGTTGCTTCAGCAACTTGAGGGGTTCCTTTTGCCCTGTTTCCATCTTGATATTTGATCTTATGAATATAGTCTCTTTCTCCTGTCCTTGGTGATGTTGGGGAAGAAGGCTGAATTAGTATCACCTTCTTCAAGCCATTTCACTCTAGCTTTTTGTCTCAACACTTTATCCTGTAAATTTAGGAATCTAGTGTACTCAACTTTAGATCTGGACAAATTTTGTATGTTCTCTTGGTTGTTGTTGGTTATGAAAGCTTCTTCTAAATCCTTGATAAGGTTCTCAAGCCGCTTTGGTTCTTCATAAAAATCACCAAAAGCTATTCTGGACCAAGAACAGAGGGATTTAGAAACCTTCTTGATTTTATTATGCAAAGTGTGTAAAGGATTGCCCTGTTGAGTGTTGTGAACCTGACGTGACTTGGTAAGGGCCTATGGGCTATTAGATACTTTTATTTGGGGATCCAGACCCAATTAGTGTCTCTATTAAAAAGGACTAGAAGTTAGAAGAAGGGGCATGGAAATTATGTGAAGCTTTGGCTTTCTGATCCTCTCATCTCCTTTCATAGTCTAGTATCTCATCCCCTTCTAGTTACCTTCGTCTATGTTAAGCTATCCGTAATTAGTGTGTTATTACTTTGTTGTGTGTATTCTATCTTGTAACTTGTATTCAGTAATTAATATATATAAGAGTGCTTCTGTTGGAATTCAGTTTGTTACATTGGTGCTTTCATCCCAAGGTCTTCAATGGAGGACCAAATATCTCGAACAAATGAAGATTTGTGGTCGAAGGAACTCGCAGAAATTCGTTCAATGTTACAGCAGTTGATTGCAACAAATAAATCTAGTCCAATGGAATTTCAACGATTTTGTTGTGAGAATCCAGAGCTATGGATTTCTCAGGCTGAACGCTACTTCGACTGCTATGAAATTGGAGAAAACCATAAGTTGTCTTTCACCTCGTCCTATCTTGACGGAGCAGCTATGACGTGGTACCAATGGCTTTTCCAGAACAAACAATTGGTAGATTGGGAACACTTTACTGCGAAAGTGTTGATTCGCTTCCGTAAACGAAATCTCAAATCAATGAAAGGCCGCTTGCCCAATCACTGGCAGAACTATGACGAGCAATCTGAATACCCAACCAAAACTGATGCGCACAAGGTGTTCGACGAAAGGTTAACTAGTTGCTGCCCCACAATATTCGTTGAGACACAATTAGACACTCCAATTGAAATGGCAAGTGAAGCAGGTACATATATTGAAAGTATCGCAGTTCAATTATTCAATGAACATCCCCAAAGAAAACTATCGGAGAGGTATGTTAATGCATTTTATCCTGATCCCGGCTCTAATGAACAACAAATTCATGAAATTGAGACCTTGGAAGGTGAAATTTCTGCGGACGAAGTGGTACCCAATGCGGAGTGTGGAAAATGTTTTGAGGGAGAAGAACGTGATGAAGGTGTTCTACTGGTGGTGAGTGTACCACAAATTTCTTTTTCAATGAATTTATATAGCCCTTGCAAGGGATGTTCCGCCATAGTTGTGGACGAGTTCAACGAAATCCTTAAGACATCAACTTGTCGTATTGCTAATACTTTTATTGATCAATGTCTTCTAACTCAATTTCAATGCAACCTTGGTGCGACTACCTTTGTTGTCCCTGTTCAGAGAATGGCATCAAATTTCTGTGTATGGGATCCCGGAATTAGTTTTGAGTTCCTGGGTCTAACATGTTTTGATAAGAGGCTTTTGAAAAAGTACTGGTCTTCTTTTAGTTGCAGGGCAACCTCAAATCGTGGAAAAAGATCATTTTGGGCTCATGTGGAAATCTTATTCAGTTGTCCATGATGAGTATGAGTACTTTCTGATGACTTTGAATGTTTCCTTTAAATATAACATATCTAGATTTCTATTTGAAGCCAGGTATGTACCCTCAAATTCTGAGAAATATCCACTGGGAGGCATCATTTCAGCCATTCAAAATGCCTTTCATGCAACTCCAGAGTTGATACGCTTAGGTGATGCAGATGCATATTATGTGATCATCGTAGATAGGCTTGGTCGATCAAGTCTGGTGCAGATTCATATATTTTTTGTTAATATGTCAAATGTTCCTCGTGTTGCTGCCAGTAATAATGTTTCTAAGGTCGAAAGAATTTTATATGGAAGTCTGAGTGATATCATCGGGTGCCTTACTCATTTGCACATATATGAAATTATTATATATCTTTGTCACGTAATCTTGTGCAAAGTGATCAATGATCAGAAGGTAAGCAAGACTGATGAAGTCAATTCTGGAATCCTCTAAGCTGCCAACCAAATCTTGATACTGTTCGTTAAGGTTTTCACCGGTAACAACCCAATTTTTTTTTATAGTACTCCAGGTTATCGGATGAAGTTTATTGACATGAACCTTGAGGACAAGGTTCTTTTTGAGGGCGGGAGTATTGCTGTGAACCCGACATGACTTGGTAAGGGCCTATGGGCTATTAGATACTTTTATTTGGGGATCCAGACCCAATTAGTGTCTCTATTAAAAAGGACTAGAAGTTAGAAGAAGGGGCATGGAAATTATGTGAAGCTTTGGCTTTCTGATCCTCTCATCTCCTTTCATAGTCTAGTATCTCATCCCCTTCTAGTTACCTTCGTCTATGTTAAGCTATCCGTAATTAGTGTGTTATTACTTTGTTGTGTGTATTCTATCTTGTAACTTGTATTCAGTAATTAATATATATAAGAGTGCTTCTGTTGGAATTCAGTTTGTTACATTGAGTATCACTCCAAGCATCTTATACTACTTCTAAGTAATCTTTGCGTTCAGTCCACATATTGAGGAATTTGAAATATTTAATATGATTGGTAACCTCAGGGATACATCTAATTAAGAGAGGGGTATGACCCGAACATGTCCTTGCTAAGTGAGTAACAATGGTTTCACTGAATTTTTCAAACCACTGGGAATTATAGGTAAGCCTATCCAGTCTTTCCCATATTGTATTTGGAGGGTCACAATTATCACTCCAAGTGAATTTGGAGCCAATATACCCTCCATCTTGTAGATCACAATCATTCAAACATGCAACAAAGTCAAAACTTTCTTCAATTCTGTATGGTCTACCCCCGATCTTTACTTCAGCATCTATGATAACATTGAAATCTCCAACAACTCTCCATGGACCATTGATTCTTGTCGATATATCCCTGAGGTTATCCCATAGTTCAACTCTAAGGAGTTCATCACATTTGGCATAGACAATGGATAAGTGAAAATCATTTTGGTCTTTGGGGGGATTAATGTGTACTGGAACATGTTGGTCTTTATCTTCAATAATGTCTAGTTGATATCCATTGGTTCAAAAGATCCATATTTTGTTAGAAGTATTATGGAAACAGTGTTGGTACCCCAATCTTCTCCTGAATTTGTCAATTTTCTTGGAGTTCACCATAGGTTCTTGAATGAATATGTAAGGAAACTTGTATTGATGTTTGAGAGAAACGAGTCTTTCAATGGCTCTGAAAGATCCTATGCCCCTTATATTCCATGATAGTGTATTAATCATTAAAAGTTGGGTCTAGATCAGATCCATTTGAATTTGGAGATTTGTTTTGATCCACTACAAAATAATTGGAATCAAAGTTACCTATCGGAGATAGGTTGTTGTAATAAGGAACATTTTATTGCACCTGAAAGTCCTTACCCAGTCTTTATCTTAGGAAGAATAGACTTTTGACCTCTAATGTGTTCATCATCAGATAGGGAAGATCTAGGATCCTCAATCATTATATCTGAACTCAAGTCTTCCACACATCCTTTGTAAGATGTGTCCTCCCTTATCTCCTTGATACTAAGGGACTCGGTAACTAGTCCAGTAGGTTGTAGTCAGAGGCGGATCTATTAAGGCATGTGGGGGTGCCACGCCACCCCCGAACTTCGACGGAAACTCTATATATACATAGATATATATATATAATATTTATATTTATATAAAGCGTGCCACCCACAGAACAAAATTGGCTTGTGGTGCCACAGTAGGAGGGCAACTTTAGAAGGCTGATGTTGCGGGTTCGAATCCCATTTGTATCTATTTTTTTGAGAAAGACATTGTTTTAAGAAAAAGGAAATTGCTACACATGTTCTTTTAAGAAAAATTAGAGAACTAAAATTAATTTATATCGAAAAGACGAATAATTTAATCAAATATAAAATTAATTTAATCGATAAGTCTATTTGGTACCCACGGAGTCTAAATCCAGGATCCGCCACTGGTTGGAGTGGATGTAATACAGAATTCAAAGTCAGATGATCCTTATATTCATCTTTTTTGCCTATTTGTCCTGATAATAACTTGTGGTTCATGCCAAACAAAGGAGGACTAGAGTTGGCAAATAATTCTTTTTCATCCAAGCTCATCTTTCCAATATCCAATACTATGTCAGAAGGGATGTGGAGTGGAGTGGAATTTTTTTCTGCCTTTACTCATTTTCTGTTTTTGAATGTCACTTACATGGACCAGTTTAGAGTTCAAAACTTGATTCTGATATTGAGCATCTGGGAATACAGATCCCTTTTTATGCATCACTTTCCTCATGTTCTTCTAAGCGTTCTTCAGGATGGGGATCTTTTGGGTCTTTTTGGGGGGGTTTCATTTTGTCTTTTCTTGAGTACGATCTGAGGTTGTAGGGGTTAGGTTGTTGAGTAGGTTGGTGTTGTTTTGGTGGGGTTTCTGAGATGGCGATATCCATATTGTCCTCTGAAGTTCTTATTTTGTGATTACTGGAGATTGGTTCTTTTCTTGTTTTGTGAAGTGAGCTTGACTAGTAGATCCTCTTGAAGCATTCATATTCTCCTAGCGTTAGATCCCGAGTAAATCTTGTTTGGAGTGTAAAAAAATGGTTTTGCAGATTCGGAGTTAAAAAAAAAGGACATGGATGAGCCTTTTCTTTAATAGGAATGGCATAGATGAGCCAATTTTTTAACAGATGACATAAATGAGTCTTTTCTAAAAGTTCGATGGCATATTTGAGCCTTTTCGCTTCATTTAAATGTAAAATTGCAAGATATGATACCAATTTTGCCAAGTTAAAGATTTTTATACCGAAGATTTGGGAGAAATATTTTTTAGATTTGTTACTTCAAAGCAAAGTTTTTTCTTTCTGGTTTCATGAAACAGTGTTGTAGTTTTAGTACCAATACAAGCATGATTATATTTAAATCCTTTTGTGTATTGTTTCTTTTTGTGACCATTTTCGAATTGAAGTTATTTGTACATTTTTTCCCGTTTTGTAAAGTTAAACTGATATAAAAAAGATAGTTCAATATATTTAATTAGTGTTCAAATTTTCTTAAATATATTTAAAGCACGTACAAATAAATTGCAATTCAAGAATGCTTCTTGCTTCAATGGTGTTAAAATTCGAGGACTGGAAGTAATAAAATAAAAAAGAGACAATAGAGTGCTTAGAATTTTCAATAAACAGAGTCAAATTCCTCAATAAATTCTGATAGAATAAATATAGTATTTAAGTTACCTTATACCATTACTTTCCATAATTAAAATTTAAACAATAAAAAAGTAATTACACTTGAAAAGTTACTTGATATAGGTTTTTAATAGAGAAATTAGTCAAGTATCTCCCTGATCTATTGTGGATTTTTAACTACACACTTATTCATAACATGAAGCTTATTACTCCCTTACACTATTTTAAAATGGAGTTAATTGCTTCATAAATGTTGAGGTGGCAAAGAAGGTATAGTTCACTCTCGAGAGAGGCAAAAATTAATTAAAACTTTAATTTTAATAATATTTCTTTTACTTCATATTAAGTTTTCAATTTTTTTATGATAAATAAATATTTCCTTTTATTCTTATTTACTCTTTTTTTAAACCTTCTTTCTCTTCTTTCTTTTGCTCTTCAACAGATTGTGCGTTTTTCTATTAAACAGATCCAGCGGTATTGGTGGCGGCTCACCTCCATCACTAAGTTAACTCTCATTTTCAAATTATACACTTCTTTCCAATTTGAAAATTTATCGGCGGTTCAAAATTAAAATATTTTTTCAATAGACTTATTTAGAATATATCTAACAAATTATATTTATTTTAAAAAAAAACATACCCATTAATTTTATTTTTTTTAAGTCATGGACTCAAAAGTAACAAAATCAAAGTGAAGTAATTGAATATTTAAATAATATTTTCAAACTTATTAAAAGAAACTAAAACAAAACAATTTCTTCTACATTTTTAAAGAAGGATCCTACATGTTCTCCTAAAAACCCATAAAGAATCAAAATTAAAAACTCAAATTATAAATTAATCATGAAAATTTTAGAGGGAGAAAGAATAAATAATGAGAAAGAGAGAACGGTTCAATTGGCTTTACATCCATCTCTATTGAGGTTTGGAAAATTAATTTTCTTCCCACGGGTTTAGTTAGTGAATCGGCCGTATTCAATTTCCACTTCATATAATCAATGAAAATTACTCCATCTCTCAACAACTGTTTTATGACATCATGCCTCAATTTCATGTATTTGCTCTTATAATTATAAGATTTATTATTCGCAGTAATTTCGGCTTCACAATCACAATGTTAAAGGGATCAAGAGGCAATTCATCCTTTATCAAAGGGACCAACTGGCAATTCATCATTTATCAAAGGGATCAACTTGTAATTAATCCTTTAGTAAAGGGATCGACAATTCATCCTTTATTAAAGGAGAAAATGGCCAAATGACCCCCCAGCTTATTACCGGATTTTCAACCACGCACCTACCTTTCACGGGAGTTCTATTACCCCTTGAACTACTTTAAAATAGAATAA